TGCCACCGCCGCCGCCGCCGCCCTTGTTGCGGCCGCCGCTGCTTCTGCCGGGCGCTCCGCCCCTGTTGCCACCGTCGTTCGCGAGGAAAGCATGCTCCGCCTTCCGCTGGCCCTTCGTGGCCCTCCTCCCCTCCGGGAGGCTCGCGTGCACGGTACTGACGACCCTGATTATCTCGCCCCGGTCCAGAGTTGTAGCCGTCTCCAACAAGAATTTGGCTTGTTGGTACTCGGGTGGAAGGGCATCGACAAAGTGTGCGAGAACAAAGGGTGTGTCAGCGTTGAGCCCTTTTTCCCGCAGTCGTGAGTACAGCAGCTCGAGCATGTATAGATGCTCGACAGGGTTGCTTTTGCTGTGTGCGGGGATCGTGAATTTGAACATCGTCTTCATCAGGGCTTGTTTCGAGCCCTGCGACTCCGGGTTGTGTACTCTGTCGAGTTCCGCAAGAATCTCCTTTGCGGTCTCGCATTTGTTCACGATTGCCTTGTCGGCTTCTCGGACGATGGCTGTAGTCACAAAGTGGAACGCCTGGAGGCCCCTCTGAACCTCATCACTTGTGTAGCCCAAGCTATACAGCTCCGAGCTAGGCCTGTTTGTGTCACCGACGGGTGCTTGCTTCTCGGCGTGCCGATAAGCTGCCCGTCCAAGCCTACGGTTTTCGCGGCTTGAATAAGGGCCTTTCTCCACGAGTCGTACCCGTGGCCGCGACTCTCCCCTTCGAGACGCGGTGCATTGACCGTAACACGTTTTTGGCTACTACTGCTGTACCCATCGAAAAATGCTCCGGCCCCTCGAATTGCGGTTTGCTCACCTTGGGGGCTTAACCCCCTCGCTTCCCCGCGGTCCGGTCCTACGCCCGGGCTCATTCCGGCTGGCCCCACAGGATTCGCTCCCGATCTACTTGCCCAGCCAGTCGTCACTCTCGCTGGAACCCCAGGACTCGCTCCCGGTATGTTGTCCCAGCTGCTTTCCCGCGGGTGATTTCGCCCATCACGGGCCGTTTCCCACGGAAATGCCCCGCCGCCCCCGGGCGGTAGAGCCTCTCTCTGGCTTGGGACGGCAGCACCGCCGCCCCTACTGGCATCGCCCGCCACGGCGTCACCAGGCTTCTTCCTCTTCAACTCCATCACTACGCTCATCAGCTGCGAAAACTAGCCCTCCAGCCTCGCAATCGCCGGATCCTCGGCGTGGTGCTGTTGCGTGGCTGAGGTCTCTTCCCCCAGCCCTTCGACGGAACCGCTGTCCGACGTAGACATCACCCGATGCGGCTATCCCTCGAGGGACAAATATACTCTAGAGTGTTTGTCGGCCGTACTCCGCGTACTTATCGGGACTTGTTTGTGTAGTGTATTAACTTCAGACGGTGAAACAACGCCCGTACCCAGGACGCTGTCGTGCTCGGAAAGGAGGAGGAGAGCGCGAGAGAGAGTAGCAGCACGGCTGCTGCACTCAACAAAGGGGGTCCCGGTGCTTCATCACCGTACCCCTACCTTAAAGGTTCTACACCATCTGCGTCACACATGTACGTACGGGTAATGTATCCACTATGTCCGTAGACCCACGAACAGCTTCCTCCTTCAAAGAGTTATCGCTGAAAAACTAAACTGTGAGCAGACATTCGGCGCGAAGTTGGAACTAGCCGCTCTCTGACGTGGATATACTTTTAGGGTCAACCAAAACTTTTTTCTCTACACGCACGATACCCCACGGTAGCAAACCTTGGGCATGAAAGATGGAGCAGAGAGGTACCTCCCGCCGCGTGGCGTTGCTGTTGCTGTTTTACTTCTCCTCCTTCGGAAAGTTATCGGTGGATAACCAAAAACCCGCGGCGGTCCAAAACACCGAACTTGTGACCGCTCGCAACCGTTGACATTTTAATGATCTGGTAACATAATGTGGGTGNACTGTCTCTACGGATATCCCTGTCTCTGTGCGAGTTTGTTTATGTCCTCGTCTGTCTTTGGTTTATTTCGTTTTTGTTTTGTTTTTTTACTGGCACGTACTGCTGACCCTTGGGGTCCTTCCGGAAGGCTACCCCCCAGGGCTGGTGGTGCGCACGTTCCACTATTTATTTATTATTTGTTTCTGATTCTTTTGTTTTCTTGTATTTTATCGCTCTGCTAACCCTTGGGGTCCATTTTATTTTGGTATACCTTTTCTAGGTACGTTAGCCTGTGACCACGGAAATCGACCGAGTCAAGTGCTGGATTAGTACGGAGAGATTGAGACAGAAGGAGGTACTGGATAGAGAGACCGGGATGGTTTTTAATGTGAAGACAACAACAACAACAACAACAACAACCAAACCCCAGGAATGTTCCGAGAAATTCTACTCTGACATGGAGACCTATCAGATTCGATCAAGTCGTCAGTTCCACGTACATATCCAATCAATCACAAGGGCACAGCGCAACGCACAGCAGCACGAGTATTGCCAGCGGACCTTTGAGGAACTGAGGAACTACAGTTGCGTGCCGTAGAGGCCATCAGATTCGATTAAGTGGAGCCAAGTCGTAGGCACCACTTTTCCAACTTCCACCCTTTCTGCCTCCCCCATTCGCCGTTCACCCATAGCAGCGGACAGCGCATTGCAGAAAGAAGCGCAAGCACTGCCAGAGGACCTCTAAGGAACTGCTGTTACGAGTCCTAGCTATTAATATTACACAGAGCAGTGTCTAATTGCTGTCGTCGTCGACGTCCTTAACAATATAGCAACGGAAACCGCCCTTCCTCCATCAGTCCTGGGTGCGGATGCGCCCAAAGCGGTCTCCTTTTCAAGCTCGGATGCGCCGATCCAGGCTGTGACCGTGTTCTGCAAGGGCAAGGCTGAAGTCACGCGTGTCATCAACTTCTCGTCGCCGTCTAGCCTCGGTCGCCATGAGGTGTGTCAGCGTTACAGCAGTTTAGGGAATCCTACGCAGTTCGTGGTGGTGGAGGATGAGGATGGACATGGGTCGTGTGTTCTCCGTTTTCTCGTCTTCTACAGAATACATTATTATGTAGAAATTCGTTAGAGAATTGGCACATGGCGTGGTGCACGGCTTGGTTTAGACTATGGTCCGTTCGGGCAAATATTCACAATCAATCTTGTTTGNATTGGCTGAGTCGTGAATTCGAGTATCGTATAGGGACATCGTAGGGGCAGGACCCACAAGAGTGGAGGTACGGTTCGTCTACATGTGATCTATATTGTCTCGGGTCTTCATCATTTTTTCTCGTAGAAGATTAGAAAAATAATGCCAGAATTCTTGAGCCTATAACAAATGCGACATTTTTGACCAAAATGACCCACGGAGCCCCCCCCCCCCACCCCCTCATGACCCCACGGAGCCCCCAAAGTACACCACGACCCCCCCTCAACCCCTCCCTTCTACACGTATATCCCTTCAGAAGATCAGTTAAACCGTTGTCAATCCATATTTACATTATTTACACGTTACATATGTACATACATACATACAA